CTGGATGCTAGAAACAAGACGCCATTGAATCAAGTGTCTTACTCTGCAGCCTCAGCAAATGTACTCTCATAACCAAATTTTAAAACAATATAAACCAAGCCGGGTGGTGGTAGTGCACATCTTTAATCCCAGCACTTGAGAGACATGCAAGTAGATCTCTGTGAGTTCGAGACCAGTCTTGTCTACAAGAGCTACTTCCAGGACTGGTTCCAAAGCTACACAGAGAAACCTTTTCTCAAAAAATGGAAAAAAAGCAACAACAAAAAACCCCAATATATATCATGCTTTTTGTGTGACCTGAAAGTCTGCAGAATATCATTGCCAGGGAAGCAGGTAGGCTACTTGAGATCTTTACATCCCTCCTGTCCTCCAAATCCAACCTCCCAGTCTCATCTCCATTTCTGCACCAGAGAGCCTACTGCAGTCTCCCTCCACCTCTCGTCCCCATCTCCAGGAGATCACACAGATATTCCTCTTCCTAACCTCCCTCCCCAGCTTCTTGCTCTATCCCAGTCCCCCAACTCCAGCAGGCAATCTCTGCAAATCTACATGTTACTCCAGCCAGGGAAGCAGTTAGGCCAAATGCACATCTTCGCTTCTCTATCCATAAGTCCAATCCCGAGTCTCACCCTCAGCTCTGTAGTAGACCACCTACCGAGGCCTCTCCTCACTGCCCCTGTACCAGGGGATGAAGTAGATGCTGGAGAAACAGCCTGCTTTCCTCCCTCCTGTGGACCCCACTCAACACCTCCACCTCAGCACATCCCTATTCATAACTCTACACCTAGAAACACATTTTACCTGGAACTCTCAATGGCCACAACTATCAGGATCCAAGAATTCCCTACCAGGGGACACACAGCCACCACACTCTCCTAAGAACCAGAGAGGACAACAGAAGCAGAACAAAATACCCACCCAACAAAGACAAGACCAGATATCAGCACTTAGAACTATAATCTTCCCAGATGCCTAGATACCAAAATAAAAACAAAGTCAACAACAGCCAGGACAACATGTCTCCACTACAACCCAGCAACCATTCCACAGCAAACCCTGAGTATCACAAAACAACTAAAGTGCAAGGAAAAGACCTTAAAACAGCCCTTATGAATATGACAGAGGTCCTTAAAGAGGAAAAGAACAAATCCCCTAGAGAAATCTATGAAAATGCAAACAAACCATAAAAGGCAACGAATAAAATAATTCAAGGCTTGAAAGTGAAAACAGAATCAATAAAGAAAATCCCTAACAGAGAAATCTTGAAATGAAAAATTGAGGGTGTTGAACAGAACCCTCAGAGGCAAGCCTCACCACCAGGATACAGGAGATGAAGAGAGAATCTTAGACACTGAAGACAACAATAGAAAGACATGGATACCTCAGTCAAAGAAGATGCTAAATCCAAAGAAATCCTGACACAAAACTTGCACAAAATCTGGGACACTGTGATGAGACCAAATCTAACAATAACAGGAATAGAGAAAGAAGAAACCTGGGTCAAAGGCACAGAAAATATTTGCAACAAAATCACAAAAGAAAATTTCCTGACCTAAAGAAGGAGATGTCTATCAACATAAAGGAACACACAAACTTATAGATTAGACCAGAAAAGAAATTCCTGTTGGCACATAATAATCAAACAGTACATGTACAGAACAAAGACCAAATAATATATAAAGGCAAACATATTATAATAACATCTGACTTCTTATGACTCAGATGTTCTACAGACTCTAAGAGACCACAATTAATGAATGTCAGACACCATCAGATAAATCTCTTTGTGCAACTGATGGTGGTTACTGTGGGCACTCACAACTCATCAAAGTGCAGATAACAAATGACTGTGGGTGCTTAGCCACAAGTGGGACAACTATGTCACACCTCCTCCCCAAGGCTCAATAACTGTCTAGGATAAAAGGGTGGAGAAGTTGTAAGAGTCAGAGGTCACATTCATTAATGGTTGATCTTAGTGCCTGTGCTAATGGTGTCTATTCAGAAATTCTTTTTTCCTATGCGAATGAGTTCAAGGCTATCCCCTGCTTTTTCTTTGGTCAGATTTAGTATATCTGGTTTTATGTTGAGGTCTTTGATCTGTGGTCTCTTAGAGTCTGTAGACAGATTCTTCTTGACAAAGTCTTATTCTTAAAAGTGTGAGAGGAGATTGCTGGGGATATAGAAAGACACACACACACACACACACACACAGAGAGAGAGAGAGAGAGAGAGAGAGAGAGAGAGAGAGAGAGAGAGAGAGAGAGAGAGAGACAGGCAGACAGACAGACAGACAGACAGACAGAGACAGAGAAGCAGACAGAGACTACAAGCCCTGAGGGAGAGAAGCAGATAGACACAGACACAGACAGACATACAGAGACAGAGAGACAAACAGAGACCACATGCAAGGTATGTATTTGACCAAGCCCTGAGGACACTATAGATGAGATCCATAGAAGCTTGTTTGCTAACACTGTTCTGACCATGTATTAAAATGGCAAAACCCTTTCTCATCTACATTTGTAATATTGAGAAAAAAAGGCTTGTTTGTTTGTGCCTGCAAGTCCATGGGAGGCTGAAGAAAGAGGATCATAAATTTGAAGCTAAACCTGGACTTTTATAGAGCAAGACCTTCTTTCCAATTAAAAAAGACATTTTGTTCCTGAAGTTTATTATATTCACAGAACGAAAGAGAACTATTTATCTTTGGATAGTATTTACACAGCATCATGACCTCTGGAGACTGTCACATGGCCCTTGACTCGCTATTCTAATGGGTAGAAATGAAGTCTTGCTTCTACTTGGAGCCAAAAAAAGATGAAATTTGGATCAAGTGGTATAGCCAAATGAGAATTTGGGGAAAACACGAGTCCTTGGTTGGAGCCATCTCTGTAGAGCCCTGACCAGAATAAACACAAACCCTCCTGTGGGGCTTTCCAGTGTATCAACTGCAGAAAGAGCCCCTTTCCAGTATGGTCTTCTAAAATGCAACGTGTAAAGAACAATGGACAAAGGTTACTTTGGTAAACCTAGTACATAATCTATAGCACACACATGTTTGTTGTTCTCTCATTTATGGATCTTCTGATTGAAAAGGACAGAAATTCAAGTGCAATTAAAGCATGGGGGGGGCGAGTGATTTATTTGTCCACTTAGAGCTGGAAGGGTTGGCAACTCAGTTGGATCATGTTATCAAAGATCCTCTCTACCCAGTCTGCTCTGCTGTTCTTGGGGACATCCTTCTTTTCTAGACTTTCTCCACAAGCTAGGACCATTTGGCAGTTTCAGGCTCATCCAATCCCAACAGCACTGAATTTCAGCAGTGACAACAGACTCTATCCCCCACTTCCAATACTAAGAGTTAAAAAGAACCCCGACTGTCCTACCCAAGACAAGTCCCACCGGGTAATTACCCTGTGTATATGTCAAGGATGGGGGTGGGATGGTCCCGCTGAGAAGATGACAAACAGGGATAGGGAAAGGGAGATAGCATGTGAGCTAGACTCTGGGGATGTCATGCAGGAGTCCTGGGCTTCCTGCTAAAATGTGGGATGGGCATGAACAAAGGACAAATGTCTGAATCAATCAAATAGAGTTGATTTCAGGATTATCAGCCTTGGGTACGATATGGTTTCAGATACAGGATAGAGGGTATGTCAGGACATGCTCAGTGAGTGTCAGGAGGCTTGCTCAAAGAGCTCCTTTCTAGCTGTAGTTACTGTAAACCCAAGATAACTAAGTAGGATTTCATCAGACAGACACATGGTAAACAACAAGTACTTCAATGCTCAAAGTAAGATTTATTGAAATAATGTGACAGTATGTTCTTAACAGAATCAAAGATGTGAAAATTGTAATGATTCTCAAAGCATTTCATACTCATGTAAGCATGGCTGTGCTCAGTTATGAAGGCAAACCCAAAGCAAAACAAAATCAAAGCAAAACTCTGTGTTATCTGTCAGCATTCATGTGCTAACAATTGTTTTTTGTGTTATGAGGCTTCAGAAAACTGAGCTCACAACCTAAATTCTGCCACCATGTTCATGCTCCTGAGCCCCAATCATGGGGTCATCCTTCCCAAGTCATCACCCTTCCCAAAGTACAAAAGCATAAAAAACTACTAATCTACAAAAAGAAATAAAAATTGAATAATTCAAAATAGGAGTAAGAAAAATCAATGCTTTCTGAACATACAGAATAGCAGGGCCATCACTCCAGATCAAAATAGGAGTAAGAAAAATCAATGCTTTCTGAACATACAGAATAGCAGGGCCAACACTCCAGATCTTGCTTTATATACTTCTCCCACATTTTGAACGATATTTGACCATTTATCACTGATTGTATTTTGGACATTATACTTTGGAGCATCTTTATTTCATTAAGATATTGCAAGTGTTCTCTCATACATGTCTCTTCGTTAGCAGATAACTTAAGTTCAGTGAGCTACAGAAAGATTTAACCCAGGCAAAGTTGGCCGCTTTCTGAGCCTTGGGCCACCTGATCTTTGCTTAGGATAGGCAGTAGAGTTCACAGGGGTTTGGTGTTCTTTAAAATCTCAGACACAATTTAAGCATCTGTGGTGTGCCTTTAACTTCAAGCCAAGTTTCCTACACGGACTCCAACTATCCTCAACCAAAAGGTCATTCTAACAGAAAGGGAACCCTTTGCCTGAATGGCTGAGTTATCAGTGTGACCTGTAAGTTTCTTCTGTCCTTGCTGCTGATTAATATATGCTTCATTTTGACAATACAGGTAAACTCTAAGGCAATATTAAAAACAAAACCGGAAAGGGTAATTTTACTAAGATTATGTGTTAAGTGGGGGGAAATTGTATTATGGAGACTTCCTTCAATATCTACATGCTATTGTTGAAAATCTTAATCTAGAGATTAATTCAGAGTCATGAAAGATTATTTTTAAAGTGTTGGTTCACTAAGTAGAAATATATCTTAAGAAATAAAAATAGAGACATACAGAAATATATTCATTCACATAAAATATTAAATCAGTGTATCTCTGACAAAAGCAAAGCAAAATATTGATGCAGGATTGCTTGTTTATAATGATTTAAAAGTATTCCAAAATTTTATTAAATGCCTGATATTCCTTGATTCTTATTTTGTGGTTTTAACAGAAATAAAAAAATTATTGTTAGGGTTGTTGTATTCAGAAATAAACTTCTGTGTTTTAAAGAAGATCTTTATCTTACCATATTATTTTATTGAGGCAGGGTCTCACTATGTAGCCCTGGCTATCTTGGAATTCTCTACGTAGACCAGGCTGGTCTCAAAGTCAGAGATCTGCCTGCCTCTGCCTCTCCAATGCTGGGATTAAAGACGGGTGCCATCACAAGCTCTTTATTCTTTACCTCTTCTTTAAATTCTGATTTTTGAATCTGTTCAAATTTACTTTATAACTGAAACAGAAAAGAAAGTATTGACAAATAAACCCTTGGAAGGTGTTGATAGACATTGCTCTGAGAAAATAGAAACAGAAGGTCAGCAAGCTGTTGCAGGCAGGAGCCATTCCATCCTCAGTATGCCTTTGGGTTCCACACTGCAGGGTGCCTCAGACCAGCTCATGGAATCTGCACACATCTCTGCTCACTTCTCGGGCTTTTTCTGCCTAACATGGGCTGATATATTTCAGCCACTACGCAGTAACCAGAACGAGCTGTCAGACCTTCAATTTGAACAGTTCTCTGAGTCCCTTCATAGGCCGTTTGCTCCTACACAGGGGGAGAAATCAGATAATAAAAGGTTTCTAGTGAGTCATTGATTTACTTTTTCTTTGTTAAAATCAGTGAGTTTTTGTCTATTTTTTAAATTTAAATTAGAAACAAGCTTGTTTTACATGTCAATCCCAGTTCCCTCTCCCTCCTTTCCTCCTCTGCACCCAATAATCCCCTATTCCATCCCCCTTTTGCTCCCCAGGATGGGTGAGGCCTTCCATGGGGGATCTTCAAAGTCTGTCACATCATTTGGAGCAGGGCCTAGGCCTTCCCCCGTGTGTCTAGGCTGAGAGAGTATACATCTATGTGGAATGGGAAAATCAGTGAGTTGTATGTGATCACTGTAGATCTTCCCATAAAGTCTTCTTCCCCAAAGCCCTGAGCCGTGACTGGGTAAAGCCACTTGTTAAATAATCAGGCTACACGATTTCTTCAAGGCTAAGGATGGAGGGAGTCATGGCTCCCACGTATTCACCTATGTGAGCCCTGAGTTAGGAACTGACATGAACTTGCAGGAGGTGATGAAGGAGGCAAACTTGGCCCAAGAGAGGGCAGGAAAGGGGAGGAGAGGGGAGGGCTAGGGGAGGAGATGAGTAAAGAGAGAGTCAAGACTGAGGAGGAATGGGCAGACCTCCCCTCCCATTTCATTTTCCTGATTCTGTCTGTCATGGATGGCCTCTTGTCTCTTGCTGAACGAGCCCTCTTCTTTTGTATTTGAACCAGTTTGAGGGTTTTTTGTTTGTTTGTTTCCAACTAAATTAGCCCTGACTTAGATGGATACAGAAAAGGGACACTCTGTTCACCATAAGACCTAGATAAAGGTGCTGGCAGTGGACTTTCTAATATAAACCGCCACAGCAAGACTTCTAAACAAGAGTGAGAGCCAGGAAAGGAGCAGAGACTGGCAGAAGAGGAGGGAGGGGAAACTGAGACCAGAGATGCAAAACAAACAAACCCCCCAAAGACTGCTAATAATAATGTGATTCAAAAGTTCCTGAAATAAATAGGAGTACAAATCTAATAGAGATAAACATCAACAACAGACAAATGGGATGAAATATGAACTTTTAGATATGTGGGGAAGTTTAAGGAAGCCAGCTGAGTATCTGAAAGGTTACATATATCCTACACACACACCATACACAAGAATGCAAGCACACGTACATTCGGATGCTGATTCAGGCACTGACTGCTCCTCATCGAAGATGAAAGAATAAAAATCCAGGGAAAGATCCTGAGACATAACATCAAAGAGACAGGTCGTAGTGTATGATAAAATGTTAGTTAAGGAAACAAACTAACATCTTTTCATCTGAACTCACCTTTCCTAGTGAATTGTCAGTTATGAAAACTCGGTATACCAAGTCATAGTAATTTTCCATAGATGTATTTTTTCCAGTTTGATTTCTATATGGCAACTCTGGGGCACGGAGAAGCACCAGCAATGATGTGTTAACTTGGATTGTAGTCACAAATGGAGGGTCCAGCTTTGCTGAAGGAAAGAATGAGCAATTTTGATAAAGCATCCAAAACAGTCAAATGTTGTAAATTGACGTTATGCGTCATGACAAATCACTGTTGTGTTCAGAAATTGTCAAAAATCATTACAAAGATAGTTTTCCTTCCATTTTCAAAAGACTGGTAAGATTCTATCTGTTTCAGTATTGCCAATCATTTTGCTAACACTATTATTTCGTTAGAAAATTAAGTATAAAAGTTACATGGAGTAAGATCTTGGAACAAGAAAGTGATTATCCGGTTCCTTAAAGTGGTAAGATTTCAAAGCAGCTTTAAAACTATCCGAAGGCTTGGATCTGTTAAATTAACTCAACAGGATTATGTTGCATATTATGGGAATGGCTAGGTAAGAAAAGAAATTTTGGCTCATGCATTTTGTTGCCAATAACTAGATTATTATCAATAAAGAAAGAGACTAGCATTGCTATTTTAACTGATTCCAGATTCACTAAAATTTTGCAGTAGGGATTTTCTTGCTTGGAATTTTTTGCAATTTCCACTTTATAGATTCACATCTTTTAATAATTCTTGAAAGTTACCATAGACAGATAGCTAGATAGACAGACAGACACATGTTCTACCCACATAGATACAGAGCCCTGTATGTACTTTTTCTCCAAGAATTTTGATTCAGTATTCCTTATTCTTATGCTAAATTTCCTTATTCTTTTTGCCATGTATCTTACCTTCTCTTATTTTAAATATTTTTCTTCAGGATAACATATTGGATTTTTTTTCAAACTTGCTTCCAGTCTGTGAGTTTATTCTTCAGTTGTAGGTGACTGAAGCTGATACACACAATGTTTCAGAGATTTCTATATTTTGTAAGTTCACTGTGTTATCATTTTTTCTACTCAAACTTCTATGTGTTTGGGAGAGCTAAGTTTTTAATACCCCCCCCCCACACACACATACACTCTGGCTACCTAATTTGGGACCAAAAGTAAAATAAGTTTTCAACCACCTTGAATTTTTATTTGATTGTTTACAGAAGAAGGAATTTCCCTGGGTTTAGGCTCCACCCCTTTAAGAGTTCAGAGATTTAATCTTGCTTATGCAGTTCATGCTCCAAATTCTCCTGACCAGAGAGACTTCTTGCTATCTTGTGCATATGTGGAGAGTAGTCCTGTTTAGTTTCGTAAGACATTGTGATATGTGTTTAATTTTTCCTAGACAAAAATGTAACATTATTATCATGTTTGGCATCTCCAAATACCCTTTCCTTAGTGTGACTCTGTGTTTATAAAATACTATTGTGCATTTTTTCCTCACTAGAATATTTATATAGTGTTTGTCCCTTGTGGTCCAAGCAGTGATTACAGAAATAGCTTTGTGATCCTGAGCATCCAAGGCCTGTTTTCTGAATGTCTCAATTCATCATCTTGGATTCTTATTGTTTACCGCTATTGCTAATTTTAAACACCAGTGTTCTTAACCTTCTGTGGGAGAGTGCGCAGACTTAGAAATACCTGTTGACATTACTAGAACTCCCTGGCAACTCTCCTCTCCTCTTGCTTTTACTGTGCAGGGATTGAAAGCAGGGACTTCCATGGTCTACGTCAGCTAGATTCCCCAGCCCTGACACTCCTGGCCTAGAAACATTGTCTCCCTAGGGTGTTTGTGACATACCAGATTGTCATTCGCTCTCACCCTGTCTTTTTGGCTATTTGACAAATCTGACATTCTCCCTGCTGGGCATCTTTTGGTCACCAGTAATGCTTACTCTCACAAAACAGTTGCCTATCACTCAGTATACTTTTTCTATCCAAACTATCAATGTCCACTGCAGTATTTGCAAATGACTCACGGATTTGCATGTTTAACAGAAGTAGTCCTTAGCTTTTAATACTAGATATGTACAGCTATTTCCTGTGGGTGACTCCAAGCATCTTAAATTCAACACAGTAAAAACTGAACTCATATTATTAATTATCCAGCGTGCCACAAAACTGCTCCTTTCTCATGAAATCACATCAAAAAATAATCTCTGGTCCATCTAAGTAACTGTACCAGAGACAGACATAGAGGTGGCCATCTGTAACATGCTCCTGTCTGTCTCCGGTATATCCAGCCTCTCACTATGCTCATCCAATGCCATGTTTTCTACAGTCCTTCTCATGATTCTAATTCAAGCCATGGCCCATATCCTGTAGGCTGTTACAGCAGCCTACCGCTTCCCTTTCCTGCATACTGTATGTGCTCTTTATAATCTATTTCTGCCAACATAGCCCACCCGATCTTTACAAAGCACAAGCCTGATATTGCGGTCTCCTGGGAAATCTGAGGATGCCATCAAAGTGACATCTTGTGAGACTTGGGACACTGCTATTGTGCGTGTGCTATACACTGTGTTGGGTTTAACGCCCAGTGTCATAGAAGCACAAGTTTTAAAATGCATTTCTTCTTCTGGAGGAAGTCATAACACCTTGAGAGAAAATGCTCACCGCTGGCTTCCTTTCAGTCTGCAGCACCGCATGTCTGGCTTCACTGTGCCAGCTGCCTTTCAGTCCCTAACACATGTCCTGCTTCCTCTTGGAAGAAGGCCTTTGCAATTGCCTTTTCCTTGGGATGTCCTCCCCGCTGCTGTTTGACACCTCTTCATCTTGAGATCGGCTCTAGTGTCCTTTTCCAGAGTCACTTTCCCTGACTCCCCTGACCAGGTCTCTCCTTGGCTAGGATCTCATAGAACTCATTTCGGTTCCACAGCATCTGCCACGAGTGCCATTTTGTGGGGGCGTGGTTATTGTATTAATATGTGACTTCCATACTATCTAGAAAACTCTGGGAAGAAACTTGTCTGTTTGCTCTGCTTGCTATATTCCCTCTGGACTAGACAAAAGTGTTGTAAGCACATTGTAAATATTTGCTCTGTGAACAAAGGAGATGTCAGGTCCAAAGGAAACCCTATTTCCCCAAATGCCAAAAAGCAGAAGGGACAACTGGTTATCTGTGTGGCCTATTAGCATGCCAAAGCTCATGCTTGCCTCAGGCTCCCTGGGTGTCACAAATACCTGTTACACATTTTCTAGTGTATAACTTTTTGTTATACTCTCCCTGTCTTCCTCCTTCCTTTCTTCATACTCTTCTTTATTTGCACCTCTCTTTCTCCCTCCCACCCCAACTCCTGCTTTTCCCATGGTCCTTGCTGGCCATGTGCAGTCTACTTCTTTCTCTCCACCTGCTCTGGACCCTTCCAGATGCCCCTGGCTCTTCAATCTCTCATATCTACAATAAGAGCCTTCCCCTGAACCACATCACGGAGTGGTTGTTGCATCATCAGTTTATGTAGGGGGCATTTTGATTTTTCATGCGACTATAGCCCATTTCCAAAGTCCATACAATCCTGTTACTGTATAAGTGAAGTCTTACAAAGCACCAGATAACAATGTTAACATAACCATCTTCCTTATTAACTATGTTGTTTCTGGATAGGCATCAGGAGTCTGAGCTCAGTGAACTGTGACAAGATGCTTCTCAGAGCAGGTCTTAGGAGTGTCAATGCATACAGGTGGCTCATTAGCTGGCATAACAGGCTCTAGGAACATACTGTCCTCAGATCCTAGAAACCTGTTTTTCAAAACAGGATATTTGCACACCCTCAAGAGCTGGGGGAGAAGAGGGCCAGGATGAAAATGAGCAGTCAGAGGATGGGATGGGACTCCTGCCCAGGGCTCCAGGTACTCCAACTTAACTGTTTTAGATGCTGCGTTTCTTTTCTACCTGGGGTCTTTGAAAGAACAGGCCCCTTGAGGCTTTTTCTTTTGTGAGAAGGGGTCTTATAGAAATAACCTAACCCCTTGTTAGCTTGACACCATCCTTACTTAAGTAGGACAGCCGAAGTCTCCACTGTTCTGAGCCAGTCTCCATGGCTGTTCTTATCTGATGGATCAGACTTTGATAAATATTTGAACTTGATCCCATTTCTAGGCTTAAATATAACAAATGACCCAATGTTAAAAACCAGTCAGCCATGCAGTCTCCTCCTTTACCTCAGTTAGTGAACTGTCAATGGAGTGTATTGGGCTCGAGTTTCAAGACGTGCCCAGAAAGGATGCTACAGAGCACAGATGGTTCATTAATTTCTTCTGTTCATCTAAGTAAAAACTCGAGATAATAAATAAGCAAATAAATAACTTTTCTTCTGAGTTCCGGTGTATCTAGAATTTTGAACTCAAGTCACTAATTTAAATCTAACTGGGCATTACATCACTTAGAAGAGGTAGACAGATGAGTCCCTAAACTCTTCAGACCAGGAAAGCCAAACCATTACAGATGTTAGCCAGAAGAAAGTTCAGGTCTTGGAACATGATCTCACAAATACTGGTAGCAAGGCTGGCAAATGTCTGCTGGGCTTACAGCATTAGTACTTAGAACTAAGAGTATTTTTATGGGGCTGGAGAGATGGCTCTGCTAGGGATCCTGAGTTCTATTCCCAGCAAGCACACGGTGGCTCACAACCATCTATAGTGGGATCTGACGCCCTCTTCTGGCATAAAGTTGTACAAGCAGGTGAAGCACTCATACATTAAATAAATAAATAAATCTATAAATCTTTTTTTTAAACTACAAATATTGGGGAAAGTACTGTTTACATGACCTGTAAGTAAGAGGGACAGGGTATGTAAAGTCACAAAGCTTTGGGATAAAGAGAGAAATAACTGTTGTTAATAGATGAAATGTTTTCATGTAAGCAGGGTACTGGAGCTTTGACTGAACCTCTGCCCCAGATTTCCAGGGCTGTGGAATAAGCATGATAAAAGCCAGTGCCTTGTGTAGTCCTGAGGACTCCATCAAGATGACAGCATGGATCTCAGCACAGCACAGGACCTGGCCAAGCACCCAGAGGTCATTCAAAGGCAGAAAAGAAAAGGCAAGCGACTGGCTGAAACTCACTTTCCCACCACGGGGTGAAGCGGGGTGTCCTGCTCCAGGCAGAGTAGCTCCCCGCCCAGGCTGTCATCACCCTCCCATAGTATGGCTCGTACAGGTCTAAGGTTTCATTGGTCAGGTCACAAAAGAGCTCTGTGGTTCCCCAGCAGTCCGTTTTATTTTTCCATTCTCTCTGTCCGTACCTGAAGAAGGGGAAACACAAACATGTGAGTTTCTTCTCTCCCGTCTCAGGACCCGAGTTGTTCCAGAGTGTTCATCTTTCTACAGACTGATACCTTATGCTATCAAGAATGCATAGAAGCTCTTTCATGCTAACCAGGGCGTTAGCTTGCTGAAGGATACATTGAGCTCTGAAGCCTTCTGTCTCACTAACACGAGGGTTTACTTCCGTTTCTGTGTGCCAGTGTGTCTTCTTCTGGTGTGTGGACCAGCTTCCGTTTTAAGTGACCCATGAGCATCCTTACATCTTCTGAAGCCTCAGCTCTGTGATGCTTCCCCCTTACGCTTCTCGTCAGCTTGCCCTTGGCTTATAAGGCCTATTCTGAGAAGTTGCTACCACCTGCCGTCTCAAGTGATGCTGACCGAATGACCACACAAGGCTCAACTCTTTATTGACAATTGAAGTTACAATGGGGGCACCTTAGGGAGCGCTGGTACTAAGAACTGGGAGAAAGAACACTGAGAAGATGGCGTGAGGCAAAAGGCTAACCTGAGCCCATGGGCGTGTGACAACCAAAGAGATAATTCTGCCACCTTCCTTCCCTGCCACTCACAAATTTGAGTAAGAGCATAGAATGTGGCAAGCAGAGGCTGTAGATGAAGGTCTCTGGTTGGAGAACTTACTTTGTAGCCGTATAATGAGCAATATTGCTGGTCCTTATACTCTATAGTCTACTTAGCAACAGCAGCTTCATGGTGTCAGGATTAAAACAGAAGCCACAACACAAACGCTGCGAAATTTGATGGGTTTGGACCATCATTTATTGATGACACATTGTCTTTGTTAGGGGAACACATTTGCTGTGACTGAGTTTTCCTGTTTCCTTTGCTATAAGATTTTATGTTTGCTCAATTCGAAATAGTGCAGATTTCAATTAATTATGAGCCACACAAACAAATTAAAGTTCTCAGAATTATACACATGTCTTGTGCTGTTGAAATAGTATAGGGAGGGGAATCGTCCCAAGTATTCCAAGGTCTGAATTTTATGTAAACTTAAAGAGTTACAGTTTAAAGTTCTGTGGAGCCTCAAGTTGAATCTTTCCTTCATGGTAGAACAGTTTCAAATCCTCTTATTGCTTTGGCCATAGACAGGCTATTTTAGAGTCATCTGTAGTGCTTACGGGGGACATGAGAGTAGATCACTAGTACCTATTTCCTACAGGCCACAAGCTTCTCCAGCTGGGTCCAAACCTAGTTTGGAAACAGAGAAAGCTTTGCTGAAAAGATTGCTACATTTTACAGGGGGAAATTAAAGAAAACCTCTGGGATATTCTTTTCAGGAATTAATTCATAGAAAAGTCTGAGCAAGGACACCCCCATATCAGCTGAAGGAACAAGGATAGATTCATGGACTAAGCGGTATTATTCTAATTAACAAATAAACAGTTAAATGAATAAATAAAAAGAGGTGTTATTCTGGCTCATACCTATACCTGCTTTCCTGGATTTCTACTCTAGACCCATGACAGCTGAGCTGCAACTGCTCCTACCTTTTACTTAGCCAAGTTCCCAAACTACTTAGAAGGAGGAGAGTGTCAAAACCCCTATGGAATGTATAGGTTGGACACCTGCCACTCTCCAGTCAGGACTATCACTCAGCCTTGACAAAGGAATGGAGTTGATAGCATCTGAGTTTTGGCATTGATCCCACGAAACAAGAATGAAGATCCGATGAGAGGAGCATGCTGCTGCGTGTCCTAGTGTGTGGACATGCTCACAGAGTCATTAATACTATGCTAGATCGTAAACCTACCCACACACAAACTTACCAGTTAAAAATATGTTTTACACACTTCCATGTTTGCCTCAAGTTCAACCACCAGTAGCTTTGTCTTAATTGAGCATTTGCTCTGGGCTGAGCAAGTTGCTGCCAACATTCGTATGACAAACTGAAAGCCATCATGTGCTGGAAATGTATGGAACTCAAGGGCTGCTTCCTGAGCTCCCTAGAGCTGAAGTACCTGTTTTAAAGACTGCACACATCGTTATCCCTTTGTGTCACCGGACAACCTTCTGTCCCTACCCCTGCTTCTTCTCAACCCTCCTGGAAGGCCTCAAAAAGTCAAATAAAGCAAAACCCAAAGGTCTTCAGCTCCTCACACTCCGTTGTATTCCAGAATGTATTACTCCATGCCCTTCCCTGCCGACTAAATCTACTTACATTTTGTACTGCACAAAGTAGACACTGCCATTGCCGGTGAGGGCACTTCCTGGCTGCCAGCGCAAAATGTTGTGGAAGTTTCTGGACTGAAATTGGACCTTCGGAGGCTTCAGAGATCCATGGGTGGGTTGAGTGTCTAAAGTGGCAAGAAGGACAGCATTGAACATACTGTGATCACTACTGTTGTGAGCTACAGAAGGGCTTCATGTATTCTCTGCATCAGGAGCCTCTGGGGAGTCACTCTAAGGGAAGGCAGTGGTGACAGAGCTAAAATCAACATTTTTAACTCTTCAGTGTGATGACTTGGATGCATGGTGAAAGTCCCCTTCCTTCTTCAGGTCTAGTGAATGAACTCAGGACATGTTCTCTGCCACTGAGCTACACTCAAGTCTAAAGTAAAATCGCAAAAGGATGTGTTTCATACTAGAAAAAGAAAGGTAACAATACCATCCCCCTAGCACTTTCCAATGGGTAAAGGAATTAAAACACATGAAAAGAAGATAGTCTCTAGTTTAAATCCCAAATAGCGATAGGATATAATGGCTGTGGTGAAAGAACCATTGCCTGTCTACTTGCTACGAGTACTCAAGAAGAGTTGCTCAGATTCACCGACACACCCTAGTGGGGGAATTACCCAAAACTCACTGTGGGCTCTGGTGCGTGCACAAAGTCAGGCAGGAGAGGGCAAGACTTGGCAGGATTATTTGGGTTTTCTTCTTCAAATTATCTGACAAGGGTGACCTTTCTTTACCTGCATTTACAGAGGCAAGAGATCTATAACAAGATTTATCAGGGTCCAAAGTTTCTGGCAAGGGAGAGAAGGATGGTTTCCTTGGGTATTTTTTTTTCTTACCCACTGGATGGTGTTGACATTGTTTTTTGTTTGTTTTGGTTTTGGTATATGTTTTGAAGGCCTCCTGCCATGCATGAATGTTGCTATGGACTTGGAAAAGGCCCGTTCCCGTGACTTAGTTTGTGCACCCAAATCACTACCTGCTTAATCCTACTTAGCACATAAACATTATCAGGAGATGGCAGGCAGAGTTTCTTGAAGACCCACCCAGACTTGGCTTGCTAACCTGAGGATGGTTGGCTCCTTGCCCTCCGACTCATGTGTCTTTGGACTTGTCTTGGATTTTTCTAACAGCTTCACTGTCACCACTCCTTCTCAGAAACAACTCACACTGCACAAAGCACGGAGGGGCTTTTCCATCATCTGCTCATTGAACACGCCCAGATCCACCATGCTAAAGGTACCACTGAAGTCTTCCTCTTATGGTCTAGAGAAGTGAACGAATCTGCCCAGGAGCAGGTGTAAAAGCTGATTTTGTGCCCAGGCTAACTCAACAGCCTACTTCTTACTACTGAAAAAGCCCTGGACCAGAGAAGCTGATGGGAGAGGCAGAGTAATTAGATAATAATAAACCTTTGCCTCCTTAAATTTCTTCCTTCTTGATGCTTATTAGTGAACAGATAGAAATACGCATCAGAAATATGCTCACTCTTTTCAAGTTACCCCCAGACAACCATGTAAGAGAGATACTATTATTACTGCATTTACAGGTATGGATACATGCACAACAAAGTTACACATTGTGCCAAGGTTATAGGGGTGCCAAAGAAAGGAAGCAGGGTCATTTTGCTAGCCCTTGAATTCCTGCTGAATGAGTCCTTGCTACCATGGACAAGAGGAATAACCTACTCTAGTTCCCATATTTCTGTCAGGTAGAGGCTGGGGTCACTTTAATGCACAGTCATAGAACAACTGTGTAGTTGTGGGCACTTACTTAAGCCACTTAAGTGGGAGTCCCCATCTATTGACCTTGGGACTCCAGGGGCCTTTCTGAGCAATTTGTCTTGATAGATTGTTCTTGAAGAATTCTCTGTAAACACTATTTGCTTGTGGTCTCTGTTCTGTCAGGGAAGCTTCTCTAAGCACTCAGCATATACACTAACTCTAAGTCTCTATAGTAACCTCCAATCTTCATTCCACAGATGGCTAAAGTCTTGTTTCCGGTATTAGGTAAAATGCCTGTTTTTCTAGTTTAACAAATGGCAGGTGAAATCTCGGTTCTGACCATGTGGCTTAGAGTCTTCTGTTTTGTGCTAATAATAATAATAATTATATATATATGTGTATATATTATATCTCAAGAGATGCAACAAGAGAGAGAGTTTGAGATTACAAACTGCTTTCTACAATGCTACAATGAAGGGGCCAGTCTCTGTCTTGAACTCAAGTACCTGTAGAGCTACTCATTCAGGATACAGAGAGCAACTGCCCCCGGGGTCTGCTGGGACCATTTGGTGACCTAACAGAGTTCAGAAAATCATCCAAGCCATTCCTAATCTTGTTTTGATCAGACTCAAAGCTAGCCAATTAAAAAGAAGTAATAAAGTACTTACCTGTTGCACTGATCAGGAAGGACGTGAGGAAACCTAGAAGGTAAAGCTTCTGCATCATGGTCGCAAGTGTGCCTGTCTGGCAGCCAATGTTCCTTTCAGTGTGGAGACTGCTGAGAAGAGGGAACTGTAAAAATTCACACATGGACCGTCACTTCCGTGGGTTCAACCAATGGCAAATGTTTCCTTAAAAGAAATTAATTTTGTTGCATTATTTTACCACTAGTAGGAATCTCTTAACAAACAAATATATCACCGCATTTTCAGGTACGTATACAGGCACAACAAAATTACACATCATGCCCAAGGTTGCAGGTGTGCCAAAGGGCAGGGTGGGACAGGAATTATGCAAGGTGAGTTGAATGAATCTTGAGGGAATTTGGCTCTACGAGGCAAGAAGGTTTCTGGGGACCGGGAGGATTTCAGAGTAATATGCTTGGCAGTTGTATCTGCCCCAGCCCCTGGCAGCTGTTCAGAGAGTTGTAGGCAACTCTTTATGGATAGCTTCTCAGTTATTCTCCCTGGTATTTATGCCCCAGGCCCCTTGACACCAACTGCCCACAGAGCCCCATGCTATATATACTTAGTTTTTTCTTCTCCAAGGTGGCCTCGAGTCCCTTTCAAATGGAATCCCTTTCAATAAATGTCTCTCCTTTCCTATTTCCACCTCACAGTTTCCAGCAATTAATCTCAAGGAAGATCTTCAAAGTTGCCAAACCAAATGATGCCGGAAGAGAGTGACTGTGGAAGACCATTAGTATAAGCTGAGTCAAATCTGGTTCCTAGCTCCTGTGAAATCAGATTGAACCAGCTCATCTGCTCATTGCCAAAGCTTCATTATATTGCTCTACCAAAAAATTTCCCCTGTGTTTTTTAAAGGCATTAAAAATTATGTATATAAGCACAACAAAGTCATATCTTTTTGTTTGTTTGGGTTTTTTTCTGCTTTTAAGACACTGGAGGTCAAAAGAGGAAATGCGCTCTGGCTTCTTTTTCATTGTATATGAATGGAAAAAACAGAAACAAGAAGGAAGGATCTGACTGCTGCTAGGTGTGGGGAAGGAGGCTTATCACAGATACCCAAGAGAGCATAGCCAGAGACAGGGACTTCTGGGAGAGTCCAGAGTGGACATGACCCTGAGCCATGTGAGGAGAGGGGGGCAGGAGAGAAGGGGATCAGGTGCAGCAGCCAGCAGGCCCAGGTAACCAAGATAGTGGGTAACAAAATGGTTGGATTACATAGGGAAGGGCAGCTCAACCCTCTGGGATGGAGAGTTCAGAGCAGGGGTCAGGCCATGCCAGCCAGGAGGGCCCTGTACGGACTGAGGGAGAACCTGGCAGCCAGGTCCACTTTATATCGTAAGCAGGCACCCCAGTCCTGTGTCCCAGGTTAGAAACCTAACATTTAGGCTTTTGTTGATGAGTAAATAAAGGGCGATGCAGTCTTCTTTATGGGTACTTCCTGTTGACATTTCCTGTTGTTGGGGCCGGTTGGGGGTGGGGGGGGAAGGTTGGGCAGGAAAACCAGAATGCTGGCCAAAACTGGAAAGAGCAGGCTGTTTCACTGTTGTCCATGCTTTGTGGGACCTTCCTGGGGCTAGGGAAATGCAGGCAGGATTTTGGAGCAGTTTGTGATGCTGGACCACCAGGGGATAGCAAGTTGCTGCAGCGTTCTATAGTTGGTTTGAAATCTTCTGGGATATTAGGGAGAGAAGGCAAAGCTAAGGAGTTTAGGGGAGTCCATTTGACCTGTGAGAGATGGATCCAAATAGATTCCCTGAGGCTTACAAGAATTGTTCTGTGAAGTTTGCAAGTGGACACAGAAAGTTTTAGATATGTTAGTACCACCACTTATTGTAATCTGTATTGAAATCCGCATTGTAGAAAGGACAGTAGACTTTGAGTCCTAGTAGAAGCTTAGGACACAAAAATGATTTGGGTTAAAAACATGAAGGTATGCAGGCTCAACAGATGTTTTTAGCACAAGAAACACTTAAGTCTATTCTTAGAAGATGACCAAAGGAAACTTAAAATCTTGAGCTTGTGACTATGATAATAGTGGTCAGTGTTTACCAGAGCTAGATTAATAGCTTATCAGAACTCCACTGATTAATGTTAAAACTCTGAACTCTTGATGTCTTCATTTAACAATAGCATATCTAGGGAAAGAACATTTTCATTTCTTATATACTTTAAATCACTTTCTTACACCTTTAAAACTTGCATAAACTTGAAACTTTTTAAAATTCAATTATCTACCATGAAACATGGGTGGTTGATAATTGAAAGTAGTCACTGTAACAAGTTCCTTTAAAGAAAGGAATAGTAAAAAGTTACTTTGAAACCTGTTTTCTGAACTTCCCTCAGTTCAGAGTGTGGTAGCAAGATAACCTGTCTGTCTTTCTCAGCTGGAGGCCTAGAAGCTCTGGGTAAGCAAGGCCTGCTTTTTATAATTATGAAGAGCATTGAAAAGGCAGCTGAAGCTTTGGGGAGGGAGCTGGGTGCTCGCTGATGTCAAACTGATGAAGCTACAGTTATTCAGTATCATCAGAGATCTGAGAACGATAAATTGTAGCTGGAAGTATAATCTAAATGGTCTATGTACCAACTAAAACAACAGAGATCCCTAGGCTCCCAAGGTTTTGGGGGGCAGAAGTAGTTGATCTTTGTAATGGGTTTCTGCCCCACCCCATTAAAATAAGTTTCTCCGCCAATCTGGTAGTAAGTCAAATCAAGCCTAACTGAAAAAGTATAACTACAGGTATGTTTGAGCAGAGCAACTCCCAGACAGGTTCTCTGGTCCCAGAGGTCAAGGCTAAAGAAGTTGTACCCCCAAGTGAAAGAGGGGCGATTTTATGGGTTGTAGGTGAGGGGTGATGACATGCCTGCCACAAGCTGGGTTTGTGTTCAAGTGGGTTCAAAAGCTGAGAACTCGGGTGAGAACTTGGTCAGCTGGCAACTTAAGGGGAGGCAGCTGCAGTAGCCACCAGGAATTTGGAACTGAGCTTTTGGGGCCTTTCCAGAACAGGGAGGGTTTGGAGGGGGCAGGGACAGGGCTCTCTGGACCATGCAAGAGCGAGGTGCAGGTTCCAACCAGACACTTTGGTTGTCACACAGGACAGCAAAGGCCTTTGTCTATCCAGACCCAGGTCTCAGAGATTTTTTTTTTCCTGTAGAGGAACTTGGGAAAGCTGACCTTACTTTGATCAGGCAAAGTAGGGCAATCAACCCAAAAATGTCCAGTTTGTGCAGAATGTTGGTGGCATATAGACGGAGTTTCTGTCCCTCCAAGTCCCACAGCCCATTAGCCCCAAATAAACACACAGAGGCTTATATAATTGTTTGGTCAATGGCTCCGGCTTCTTAATGACTAGCTCTCTCTTAATTATTAATCCATAACTATTAATCTATGTATTTCTACATGGCCTTATCTTTCCAGAGATTCCCCAGCATCCCATCTTCACAGTTGCTACATGGCATCTCTCTGGCAGTTTCTCTCTGCCTTCTTCTCCCCAGAATTCCCTCCTCTGCCTATACTTCTGCCTGGCTACTGGCCAATCAGTGTTTTATTCATCAACCAATAAGAGAAATGTATACAGAAGGACATTCCCCCATCAATGGCAGGCAAGGCACGAGGCAGTTTCTCCCAGTGGTTAGTGTTACCACAATCCCGGTAGGTTCTTCATTGTCAAGTCCCATTTGTCTTACTTGGTGACCTTAATGGCATATTTAGCAGGTCTATGAGGAGTCTGAGGACCATCTAGCTATTAAGCATATCTTCTTTACTGGCTTGGAAAACACATAAGAGGACAAATAATGCTTGTCACTAAATGAACAGTTTACAAGTTAGTAGCTTGCCGGGTGGTGGTGGCACACGCCTTTAATCCCAGCACTCGGGAGGCAGACGCAGGCGGATCTCTGTGAGTTCGAGGCCGGGCTGGACCAACAGCCTCCAAAACAATACAGAGAAACCCTGTCTCGTAAAACAAAAAAACAAATAAATAAATAAAATAAAAAACAAGTTAGTAGCTTAACAAAGTCACCAAAGACAAAGAAACTAGACAAATATTGCTAATTTAAAAATCTTATTTATCAAATAAATCTTATTTATGGAACACATGTTGTTATTTATCTAAACTTTCTAGAAGCCTAGAGTTGAACAGTTAGCAAGGACCTAAGTATTAAACCAGCTTTTGTTAATCTGAGTAGACTTTTATAACCTTAAAATTTTATCATCATACAAAGAAATCCAGACCAATCAAAAATATTTAAAGACTTGTTGTTGCTTGCTTCCTTAGTCTAAAAGCAGATACGGAGACAAAGTAAGGGCTCAGTAGGACTGAGAAGTTTTATAATTATTGTTTTATACCATCTTAAAATGGTGGTGTCATGTTGCATGTATCTTTTTAACCTCAGTAAAGATGGCTGTCAGTCATGTGCTGCCCACATCTTGATAATGGCAAAGCCAAGATGAAGGGGAGCCACCTGGTTACTATGTAAAAACATCTATTTTTTTCTAAACAAGAGTCAGATCTAAGTTACAAATACAATACATTCTAAGCCAGAGTTGAATCACATACACAGTATGCTGTGGCAAATTAAAGTTCCTACATATAGTTTTTAATATAAGCCTTTTGTTGTAAGTTTAAAGCCAATTTCTGTTACAGATTTTAAACCATATCCAATGAATTTATAAATCCTGAAACAGAGTTTACAGCAGTCTTAAGAGTTTGCTTTCTGTTTGTTTGCTTGTTTGAGCAGAGTACAAAAAAATCAGAGATCAAATATTTTTAAGAGTGGGAAGGAAGTTGTAGAACCTTAGAGATAAGAGACTTTGGGAGTATTTGCTTGTGTGGAAGCAGAAGTTGTTACACTCTGTGAGAAACAAGTGTGCCAACTTTTAGTCACTGTTCTGTACTGAGGCCGTGAAGGAAGAGAGGGACAGAGTCACAGAGTGGAACCTTGTGTGCCCGGGAGGGGTGACCCTGTAAGTTCCAAGAGGGGCCTGAGAACTGAAGCTGTGGGACTGCAGGCAGGAGTTGACAGGTAGCTTAGTGGGACTGCAGGCAGGAGTTGACAGGTAGCTTAGTGGGACTGCAGGCAGGAGTTGACAGGTAGCTTAGTGGGACTGCAGGCAGGAGTTGACAGGTAGCTTAGTGGGACTGCAGGCAGGAGTTGACAGGTAGCTTAGTGGGACTGCAGGCAGGAGTTGACAGGTA